TGACCAACCCGAGAAAAGATATATTTGTTTCATAAGAGGTGAATGTTTGAAAGGCTGACACGAGAAAGGTTATGCATATCTATTACGACGTATTATCGTATGTCAAACCTTCCAAGGTTTTAATTAACCAGGATCTATTTCTAGCTAAGCCTAAGATTTGGGTTAGACATGGCATCCATCTCCCAATGATAAGCTTTAGCTTTGTTTCCAGTACTGCTTGCCTCTAGTAGGGGACGGCTTCCACACCTGTCCTAAAAATATCAGAGATGGGCTTCTCAAATCTGTCACAAGTTAGCCCCAACTCAACACCCCACCTGCTTGTTCTGCTCTCTCGATGGAGCTCTCCCCCTATCCCCATGGTGATAGTTGATTGTCAACCCTAACTACCGTCGACCCCCTTCTTCAACCCTGTTTATACCATCAAACCATCCGCCATATACCCCCCTCACATTCCTGTTTGTCCACCACTCCTCCCCGTTTAACCCAAGTAACGAGTGCCCTAACCAAAGTCTCCCCTGCCCGAGTCAAAGTTCCTGAATGTTGCGCGAAGTCCTCAGGCTCTCGTAGCCCGCCACTTCGAGAATGTAAGGCAGCTCCCCCGCCCAAGCTAAAGGTGCAGAGAGCCTCATGATCGACTGGGCCCTCTTCCTTCCTCACCAGCAAGACCCCAAATATGCACACCTTCTTATCCTCACTAACCAAGCTACCCACGAAGTCTTCCTCCGAACCCCTTCCTTCCCACTCCCACTACCACCTTCGACCCCTCAGTTCCTTTTTCGTTACAGGAAGTCTTCGACCCAGACGCAGCAGTAGAGCCTTTCGCCTTAAGGAGAGAGGGTGTTAGCAGAAGTAGTCACCGCCGCCCATGGATTAGTAGCATTGGGTTCAGTTAAGTATTTCGCTTTGCTGGATATATCAGAAATTGTAGATTCAATCGCAGCTCTCTATAGCAGTCTTGCTAAGTCACCCACAAAATGCCAGGGGCTCAAAGCTTAATTTCAAGTGTTATAGTCAATCCAGGTTAATCTAAGCCTTTCCCGGTGAACATCCTCGATGGAAAGTGAGGACAACAATGCCACTCGGTTGGCTGCCCTGTGTAAAGAATTGGGAAACCTGTGATCAGTAGATGATATAGTGTAGCTACCAAGGGATATCCCTGCTGATAAACAACAAGAATGTGAGCTAACTCTGTATGGGAAGCTGTATTCAAAACCAAATGTGAACTTCCAGGCATTCCTTAGTACAATGAAGAGGGCATGGAAAACAGACCAAGTAGACTGCGAGCTGATTGAGCCGGGGTTCTTTTCCTTCTCATTCTCTTCATTAGAGGAGAAACAGCGAGTACTGCAAATAGGCCCATGGTCATTCTCTAGTAACCTTCTCGTACTCCAACAAGGTTTTCCGGATATCCCTGACCATTGTTACGAATTCACCCACTGTGACTTTTGGGTTCAATTAGCAGGTATCCCCCGAGGAAGATTATCAGAAGAAGTGGCTAGGGAGGTAGGAAGGAAAATTGGAAAAGTAACAGAGGTGAGATTTGATTCTAGAGGAGGAGGCGCTAACAAAAGCTGCAAAGCAAGGGTCCTCTTGAATCTTTCCAGCCCGTTAAAGACAGGAACAATTGTAGATCTGGAGTACAAAAAGATTTGGGTGGATTATAGATATGAAAGACTCCCTCACTTTTGCTATTTCTGCGGAAGGATAGGGTATTATGCCTCCTATTGCAAAGAAATTCCTTTTGAGGAGTCGGGGCTCAACGAAAACGCTAGGGGCAAATTTGGGCAATGGTTGAGAGCAGAAGTACGAGAACCTAGCCCTTTTTGGAAGATCTTCTACGGGAAAGACATCCATGTCCACGAGGAGGTGGTCACAATCCCGGAGACGCCTAGGGAAATCACCCCAGAGACGGATTCACCAAGTTCGAAGGGCAAGGCTGTTGTAGGGATGATTGAAAACAAGCTTCAGGATGAGAGGCCGAGTAAGAGGAACTTACAAGCAGAAAAGTCAAGGACAAATCAGCCAGGATTCGAAAAGTATGACACCCAAATTATCCCTTTTAACCGGCATGTAATGGCGGACACGCGAAACCTTCAAGGAAGGAGAAGATAAGCCCGAAACCCTTCAAGAAAGTAGCTGCGGTAAGGAAACAGAAAAAAATCAACCCTCTTGGACTACTTGAGAGTCTCAGTCCCTCCATTAACGAGGAGGCGCTCCTTGATGCTCCGATCCATTTGGCCGAAGGAAGAAATGAATGGGCTTTGGTGGCTAGCCCTAATAAGCCACCGAGGATTATATGAAACTTTTGAGCTGGAACTGTCAAGGGCTGGGCAATCCCTTGACAGTCCAGCACCTCAGAGCCTTAATGGCTCAAGAAAGGCCCGACTTAGTCTTCTTGATGGAAACTAAGAACAAGAGTGCAGTAGTTGACAGAGTGAGGAGGTGTATGCAATTCCAAAATATGGAGATAATAGACCCCATACGCATCACGGGGGGGGGGGGGGGGTGGCTTTGATGTGGAATGACGAGGTGACAGTGATGGTGGAAGACAGATCCAGAGAATTTATTGACATTGTGTGTAGGGATCAAGGTAGCGACGATTTTATGCACATAACGTTCCTGTATGCCCCCACAAAATTTCAGGATAGGCTTCAGCTGTGGCACCACCTACAAGTGATAAATGCAGCTAACCATCTACCTTGGATATGTGCATGGGACTTCAATGAAATCTTGTACCACTGGGAAAAGATGGGTGGGAGTCGGGCGGAGCACTACAGGCTGGTCGCGTTCCAAGAATATCTAAATAAATGCTCACTCATGGACATAGAAATTAAGGGCTGTGCATTCACGTGGGCTAACAATAGGGAAGGAAAAGCTCTAGTGCGGAAGAGGCTTGATAGAATCCTTTGCAACATTAATTGGAGAGTACGATTCCCAAATGCGGAAGCTTACGCCTTACCCGCAATTGGCTCAGACCATAGCCCAATTCTCCTGTCACTCTACCCAGGGAGGGCTAAAAGGAAAAAGGAATTCAAGTTTGAGGCATTTTGGCTTGAGGATGCTGAGTGTACGAAGCTGGTGAGGGAAACATGGGGTGGCCCAGAAGATAATCCTGCAGCCTTTGGTTGCAAATTGAAAAAAACACCAAGGTTTTGAACTCGTGGAGCAATCAGAAATTCTCCAATGCCTCCAACCAGATCGAGATATTGAAAAGAAGAATAACGACCCTCACAAACACAAGAAATGGCGACAACAGCAAAAAAGAACTGCAGCAGCTCAAAAAACAAATTCAGAATCTGTGGAAGCAGGAAGAGCTATATTGGGGGATGAGATCGAGGATTAATTGGATCAAATGTGGAGACAAAAATACAAAATACTTCCATGCTGCAATGGTTCAACGAAGACAAAGGAACAAAATCTCAATGTTGAAAGTCGACGACATATGGTGCCGAGATCCAACAAGGCTGAAGCAACACATTGGCAGTTTTTATGATTCTCTGTATGTATCAGTGGGGACAAGAAACTTCAACCCTATACTAGACCAGTGTTCATTCCAAGTTCCAGAGGGGATGAATGAGGCGTTAATGGTACCAGTGACCATAGATGAAGTAAAGAAGGCGACTTTTCAACAAGGTGCAACAAAGGCCCCAGGCCCTGACGGGATGAATGGCCAGTTTTATCAGCATCATTGGGAGATCCTACAGCACGATTTACACAGACTAGTAAGCACCTTCTTCCATTCAAGCAAGATGGATCCGGAACTCAACAAAACACACATAGTGCTCATTCCTAAAGTTTCCAACCCAGAAACTATCTCACAATTCAGACCCATTAGCCTGTATAACTTCAGCTAAAAAATCATATCAAAGGTGATAGCGAACCGCATCAAGCCATGGCTCCCAAAAATTATTGCTAAAGAACAGAGCGCTTTTGTTAGTGGGAGGCTTATTCAAGATAACATACTTATCGTCCAGGAGATCCTACATCAACTGAGAATCAGGGAAAGAAAACGGAAGTTCCAGGCTATCTTAAAGCTGGATATGCAAAAAGCATACGATAGAGTGGAGTGGGACTTTCTTTGCGCGAGCATGGTGAAAATGGGTTTTTGTGAGGAATGGGTATCTTTGGTGAAACAGTGTATCTCTACGGCCACATTCAGTGTCAAGGTAAATGGGGAGCCTTTAAAGTACTTCCATCCATCAAGGAGAATCAGACAAGGAGACCCACTATCTCCTTACTTATTTATAATAATGGCCAACGTGCTTTCTTCCCTGCTATCAAAGGCCGTCGAGGATGGGACTCTGAAGGGGATCAAACTAAACAGGAACTGTCCAACCTTGTCACATCTACTATTTGCTGACGATGCCATATTTTTCATTGATGGAACTATTGGTGAGTGTCAGAATCTAGCAAACATCCTGAATCAATATTGCTTTGCATCGGGACAAGCTATCAACCTGAACAAATCGGGTATATTCTGTAGTGCGGGCTGTCCTCAAAGCCTTAAAAACAATCTTGCGATTGAACTGAGAGGACCAATAATGGATAAAACCGGGAAATACCTCGGCATTCCATCTGATTGGGGAGATACTAAAAAACAGATGTTTGCGTGGATATTAGCTAGGGTAAATATGAAGTTGGAGGGATGGAAGGAAAAGCTGCTATCAAAGGCGAGGAAGGAGATTTTACTCAAAACAGTGGTACAAGCTATTCCACAATACGCTATGTCTATCTTCAAAATCCCAATTTCAGTTTGCAAAGCCATTGACCAGAAAATCGCATCATTTTGGTGGAAACAGAACTCATCCAAATCAAGTATACATTGGAAAAAGTGGGACATCCTCAAAGAAAGGAAAATAGATGGCGGCTTGGGATTCAAGGACCTAGTCACCTTCAACAAAGCCATGCTAGGAAAGCAAGCATGGAGACTTGCTCAAGAACCAACAGCTTTATGGAGCCAGCTACTTCAAGGAATTTATTTCCCAAATGGAAGCTTATGGAAAGCCAGAAATGGCTCCCGACCGTCGTGGGGGTGGCAAAGTTTGATAATGGGCAGGGACGCCATAAGCTTGGATATTAAATGGTCGGTGGGGAATGGAGATAGTATCAATATAAGAGAGGATCAATGGCTGAATCAGAAACTGATTGGTGGCCCAGCAAATAGGGATGACCCGCAAATAGTCGCAAATTTAATCGATCAGAGGACAAGAACATGGAAGGAAAACAAAGAAGGTTGTTTCAGGAGGAGGTTGTCAGCGAAATCCTAACCACACGCATTCAGCCAAGTCCGGAAAGCGATAAACAAATATGGACCGGCAATACAACAGGGGAATACACGGTCAGACATGGATATTCCAGAATTCGAGCATCTATACCCAAGCAAAACACAGCACAAGCATCATCATCATATCAGCAGCCCCGTTCTCTATGGTCTAAAATATGGAAATTAAACACCGAACCAAAAATCCGATTCTTCTTGTGGGGTGTGTGCCGGAATGCTCTACCTACAAAGGAGAATTTATACAAAAGGAAGGTAATTACTGACCCGCTTTGCCCAATTTGCCAGCAAGCTCCAGAAACGATGGAGCACACCTTCATCCTGTGCGATTGGATCAAGCATATTTGGTCTGATCAGAGAATACAGATGGATGTTTCTCCGACAAACTTGACAAGAATGGATAAGTGGTTAGATGAAGCACTTACTGGCGGTTTCTCGGCTCTCCAAGAACTGCTCGCTGGTATCCTTTGGCAGATCTGGAAGGCCAGAAATGCCCAGGTGTTCCAACAGATTTCCCCAAAATCGGGTGTTATCGTTGATGAAGCTATCAATCTGAGCAGATTCAACCGCTTGCAAAACCCAACCGAACGCAATACCTGGCTGAAGAAGCAACCGTCAGAAAGCTGGACACCACCAGATACAGGGCAGTGGAAATTCAACGTTGATGGTTCTTGGATCAAAGGCAAACTAGAGGGATCGGTGAGTGGTGTTTGTAGAGATTCCAGAGGTTTGATTATAACAGGGTTTACTAAAGGGGCGGTTGCTAGCTCTCCTCTGGAAGTCGAAGGTACTGCGGTGAAGGAAGCCATCCTCTGTCTGCGTGAATTGGCCGAAAAGGAAGATAGTCTGGCAGAGCATGTGACAATTTTGACCGACAGTGCAGCCACTGTTAGTTTTACAGAACATCCGCCCCTCAGCCCATGGGCTTTGAGAAGACTTTTTGAGGAATGTAATGAACTACTCACCCAAACGCGAGGGATCTCCCTGGCCCACTGTCCACGAGAAACCAATTACATTGCAAACTGGATCGCAAAGACCCATCGTAAAGGGACTCTTCCCCCATACTGGTTGTATAAACCCCCCCAATCTCTTTGGGATTTATTATGTAATGACGCTAGTCTACTTCACTCTTGTAGTCCAACTTTAAATGAATGATATGGTATAAGCATTTCGACCAAAAAAAAAAAAATCTGTCACAAGTTCTCCCCCGCAGCAAGCGTTAGGCGGGCAATGTGCCGTTGCTAGTGTCCTTTAGCGACCGTTTTTGGCTTTTTAGCGCCTGTTTAATCCGTTGCTTATTGTTTTTTTTTCAGTGAGAGATCAAACTGTTGAAATTCACATCTCCATTGAATTGAACTATTAAGATGTCTTCTACCATTCATGGAGAGTTACTTACTTGGCCTTGAATAGCTTGATTGAGTTCAGTCTCCCAATCAAAATCACTCTATAAAAAAATGGAATACTCAAAAAATGGTTATAAACCTACTTATGATGCTACTGCAGTGCATGATCCATAATTATGTCTCGGGAAAGCCTTTCTTTTAACCTGAAACTACTGTGGGTCCGAAAGCAATGAGGTGATGCAAGGCTGATCAAGTGCATGTTGCACCAAGAGATTGAAAATTCAGAAACATGATAAAGCCAAAGAGCATTGTAATTTAGCTCATGTGATTTTCACTTACCATAAAACGGAAGATTGAAATAAGCACTTTCTTTTGACTAAAACTACACCGGATAGAGTGAATACATTAGATTGTCTTGTATAGAATTTATGGGGACTGCAACTTCAGAAACTGCAAGGCATGAAAACGGGCAGCAGAAATTAATGTCTGATAGGGACTTTCACCCACCAACTGAAGAACTGTAGAAGGAAAAGTGCTCTGGTGAATTTGATTGGTGCATAGCTTGCAGTAATCTATGAATCCATAACAATGTGGCAGCTCTCACTGTAGTTCCTCGCTTCTGCTTTAAACCACTGATTGCCTCTGATTTTTCTTTTTGGGAGGAAATAAATCTGTAGATCGTTTCAGATTCAGCTAATAAAGACCAACAATTTGAGTACCTACATCTCTTGGAGTGCTAGATTAATTCATTGCATAGGCTATAGCCCTCAGAACAACAATAAAGTCGAGTAATTTCAACTACATTCATGTGCTTTTACCATGAATACCCAGTCCAAGATCTATGGTTTTGGATGAGCTAAATCTGGCTACAAGTTGCCACTGACTAACTAGAGGGTTATCTGATTGGCCTTCCAGCTGGAGTTCTACTATTAGATGATGCTTTCTAAAGCTTGCCTCACAAAACTTCCCTCGGGCCCTGAAGACCATGTGGTAAATGTAGGGGCGAGCACCCGATCCAATTCAATAATTAGTGAACTAGCGCTAGTTCAATTTCGGGCTATATCCTGGGAGAGCAGATCTAATTTCTTATTCTAAAAGGTTGGAGCCAATTGACCGATTTTATTCGCAATTCTGGGCTCGGAACCATTGATTCAATCGGGAAAGATACCGACCAAGCTTGTTTCGGAGTTCATGAAACCCTGTGAGCCAATTCCAAGTTTCAACTGGCCCTGTAATCGATTTTAAATCAGATTTAGAAGATATTTATTTCAAAAAAATTTCAATTACTTCATGCCGGACTAGACCCTTTTTTGCTTCCTATTGTTCGGTTTAAACTTTCTTTCGTTAAGTAAGCTTGATTTAACCAATTTTAGGGGTACGACTATCTTAAATTTGTAATCTTTGGAGTCGGAACTCCAAGGTCGGTTCTTAGTCCCGACCAAAACCTTGCCCATCCTAATTAAAAGGCAATGGAAGATCATGAATCTAGCTAACGCAATGGAAAATCATGAATCTAACTGCGCATCAAGATGAAGAAATTGAAAGGAAAATCTTGGCAGTATAATGTTGAAGAGCATTATTCTTTTCCTAGTCGAGCTCTTATCAATCTGTTTAGTCTACAATCTCTTCAGCCTTGGCATCAAAGTAAGGAACAGAAGCTCAATGACACCCTCCAAACCAAATGGAAAGAAGCATATGAATGAGCTGTTTCACGTGGACATGTCTAGGTTCAGGTGGGCATTAGAGTTTCTATGCTGCTATCTGATTCTTTAAATTCTGCCTCTTTAATCAATCACAAAAAAACCCAAAAAAAGAAAAAAAAGAGTTTACAACTGAAGGATATTCAAATCGAGGCTGCCTTGAGAAGCACGGAAACGGGTCACTGTGAAAATGTGGAATTAATCAAGAGAGACACACCAATTCCTAGGTCTTGTGTCCACCCAAATTTAACTCCTTCCAAAATGACCACGTCTTTCCCAAGTTCCACCAAAAGGGTACCTTATCTGAAGCGCCAACAACAAGAACAACAGTCAAGCTGGGTACCTTATATGAAGCTCTCTTTTGACATTTGCTCCCACTTTTCTTAATTTCTTTCTGCTCATTGGAACTCAAGGATTCCTCGCAAAGGCTCCATGGCATTGTCGAGGTGATAAATGGGGGAAAAGAGTAGTTTAGAAGTACACATCCATTTGGTATGCAAGAACACTCGAACCATTTGATAACTCGGACACAAAACCTTATGATAAGCATCATCGATTTGGTGAAAATTGGAAGTTATAGGAAGGTGAGACATAACGAATCATAAGCTAAAGCAGCTGCTGCACTGTAGCTAGGCTTTTTGTTTCTCCTTCTTTCTGAGAGAGTGTTCCGCGTTCATTGTTTTTCTTTAGTGAACATGTTGATCTTTTGTTTTGCACACCAGAACTAAATGGCATTGGCAGACAAGTTTCAGCAAGCCAAACGAAACCCCACATGAACCGGTTAAGAGAAGGGCGAAACATGTCCATTAGGAAAAAACAAAGTCTTCCCACATTCTCAAAAAAGCAAGAGGAAAATTCCAAGGACAAACTGTACTCTTTCCTAGAAACAAAACATATAAAAGATGACATCAAATTTCGCAAATTTACATTTGAAGAGAGAGAGAGCGAGAGCGCATTAGCACAACACAACCAACCAACATGCACATCCCCCGAGAAAACACAACAAGCATTTTAGTGGACAGCCTGACAAAAGTTTGAATTAACAAGGTAATAAAACAGTGTTTTAAGACCCCCAAAAAAATCTATTTTGGCTTTTATTCACTGCTTCATCTTCCTCTTAATTTCTGGCGTTTTGTTGGCAGGGAAGAAAAAATGTAAAAACACTTCTGGGTTCGCTTTCTCCAGAAATGGGGTTTTTCCAAGAAACATGAGAAGAAGAAGAAGCACAAAGTTGGGCACTAACAAAGAAGAAGAAAAACTGAGAGAGAGAGAGAGAGAGAGAGAGAGAGAGAGAGAGAGAGAGAGAGGGAGACCAACTTGAGCATTTTGCAGAGCCTTTCATATGAATTCACAATTAGCTAACAAAGAAGAAAAGCAACAAAGATTAGAGCAAATTGGAAGCTAAGAAATACAAGATTGAGCCGTCCCGCCAATATCACCACCACCACCACCATCACCACCACCACCACCACCACTGTTAGAAGCTAAACAAGCAGGAGAACAGAGACAAGCAAGTGGCAAGAGTTGAACCTTGCAAAAGAGCACAAATTTGCCATTCCTCACATAAGCAAAAAGAGCAATGCCATTCTTGAGCTTGCCACTCAGCGGCAGCACCACCACCACCAGATGCACTCCCCACGCTCCACCACCCTCGCCGCCGCCGTCGCTTCCACAGTCGCAGCAGCAGCATGTGTACACTCATCAATTGAGGCAAAAGTTGGGATTTTTAAGCAGTGTCACCCCCAGAAAACAAGATAAAACAGACCGGGTTTGGGTGATTGCGTGTTTGTCAGAAAGAACACAAATCATGGAAGAGGGAAACATGGGTCTTCAGTTCTTGCAACGTTTCTTTCTTCTCTCAAGAATTTCTCGTTTCCTAGGAGTACGAAGTCGGGTCTTCTCGTCCTATCTTGAAAAGAAATGGAAAAGGGCTGTTGGAAAATGATAAGAGAGGGAGGTTGTGTGCTGGGTTACAAGAAGTGGAGGACGTGAGATTACTTTGGCTTCATGTGCGCACAGGAAGAGACCATTTCTGTGACTGTACTACTCTTCTTCTCACACCATATTAATGAGGCCTAAAGTGAGTTGAGTGAGAGCGAAAATGGAAGATGGAAAATGGGTGGGTGTGTGTTTGCTGAGGGAAGGGGGGTTTTCTTTGATATGGACTGTGATTTGATTTTTGGCTGTAAACTCGAACAATTTTCGCTTGCCCCAGAAGGCCCAGATTAGCTAGATTTGCGCAAGCAACCACTGCCACTGTCCTGTTCCCTTGCCTGCCCTCAAATGTTATCCTGAATTACATCCGTGTCCCTCCTCAACCGATAGCTTTTGGACTTGATGAAAACTCCCTTTCCTATTTTCCCCCCTGAAATTATTCAGACTTGTGAGAAGTACAAGAAAAACAACAGCGGTTAACAGAGAAATATCACCACCACCAAAGAGAGGAGGTCCATGTCTTAAACTTATCAGTCAGTCAAAATGGGTTCAGCTCTTTCTGCGGTTATTGTGAATATTTAAGTTTGAAAATGGAGAGAGAGAGAGAGCTATGGGGACTGAGAGTGGAGACTAAACAGAGGCACCATCTTGACCAAAAAAAAAAAAAAACAGAGGCACCACAGTCGAGGACCATCGAGACGGACACCTGAAACCAAAAGGACCCGACTAGACTGAGTCCTTCCCCTTTCCCACGGCCTAACATTCGGTTTTGATTGGTTCTAGGCCTTTCACTGCACACTTGTTCATGTCTCAGTCTATTCTATTCTATCCTCTATTATACGTTGCACCCTCCTTAAGAACTCAAACACTATTTACACCCTTGCATGTATAGCTTCTTACACTTCCATCGATAACAACCTACAACTTTCGAAAGAGGCCACAAAAAAAAAAAAAACAAAAAGAAGAAGAAAAGCTAACTGTTAGCAAAAAGGTGGAACTGGAAGTGGTCTTCACTCTACTCCTTTGAGAACCCAAAACAGGTTTCTGGGGTAATCTCAATCCATAGATTTAAGTACTAAAACCACTGGTAAATATTGGATTTAAGCGAAATCTCATGTGCAATTACTATTTGGCAGAACTTCCTAGGCCGGGGCATAGAAAACAATTCGTTCATGAATCTCTTAATATCGACGTCAATGACATGCTTTTAATTGAATCGGCCACATCATCTTGATCCAATGCATTAAAATCGACCATGATATCACCTAATCGCAGCGGTCGAAAACACCTTTGAAAAGTGATCATGAGATCATTTTCTTGTACCATTTGTGGATGATAAGAACACCCGATTCGGTCGGGTCCTCCATAATGAAGAAAGAAGGTTGAGCTTAATCTGGTCTGACCATATGGTCAAGTGTAAGGGATGCGACTATGGTCGGTAAGGTTGCAACTACAAGCATGAGTTCATGAAGGTTTGGGGGTCTCTGGTTCATTGCAAAATCCAATCCAGGTAAAGAGTGGAGAAGGTTCCGGATTTTTCGTATCCATGTTAAAAGGGAACCGTCTTCCCCTATCTCACAACACGTGAGAATGAGCATGAGATGGGTCCTGCAGTTTCCTTTAAAGGATCCTGCAGTTTCCTTGCTTCCATAAGTGACCAAATTCTGCTCCTCACCCAATCCATTCTGTCATTATTTGGGCAAAGTTAGTGCATCTCTGTACTCCCCCCCCCCCCCCAAACCCTCCTTCTTTTCACTCAGCTGGCCTAAGGGAGATGGGGGGAAATCCTAATTCTACTTAGGAAATATACACGTGAATTCGTGTTGAGCAATGCCTCGAACGCAAGGATTTTCGTAAAGTTGACACGGTTTGTGAATTTATGAGGGACAAAGTGAAGACATAACTTTTAGGGAGCAAAGTGACACTGAGCACAGACCGGAGGAATTAAAGTGTTGATTATCTTTTCAAAAAGCAAGAGTCTGTGTGCCCTGGACATTATTACCAGCTTGCATGTAGCTAAGTTAGATAGAGAGAGATTTCACATCAACGAGATCCATGATGCATGTGAGAGAAATGGATGAAAATGCAAAGTTTGGATTATGCAAAAGCATCAAGTTAACTTAAATTGTCCCGACAAGCTTCTTAATATTATCCCTAACGTGCAAACAGTCGCGCACGTGAAAAACTTGATGTTGACACAATCGCTTGAAAATGAATAGAAAAGTTTTGAGTTGGAAAACAAATTAAATAGCATGAACAGTCGACGAGATAAAGATGATTGGAAGGGGTATGATTCGAATGCGTGACACGTTATTGATTCAACGACTATTATCACAATGAAAAATAAGAGAAGAAAATGCACAATAAAAATGGGAGAAAATCCTCGGAAGGCACTATCATTATTATTATTGTTTTTTTTTCATATTCTGAAGATCACCATCTCCCCAAGATGGAGGAAGAATTGAAGAAATCATGTGTTTCTCCAAATTTAAAAGCTTTGTTTAGGTTCAAATGTTTTAAGTTAGACCATATGATTGATAAGGGGAAAAAAAAATAGAAAAGAGAGAACGAAAGAAATGAAAGAGAAGCTGAAAAGGATTGGATTCGGGGAAGATATCAATCGTTATCGACTCAGATCTTCATCCATTTATAGAAACTTTTTGATGGGGCGTACTGAGCATTCATGCATATCCCTAGAACAGCAAAAGTTCAAAGAGTCAAATGTACGAAAATTCAAACCCTAAACACCTCCTCCGCGCCTTTTCAGGTTTAACTCTTCCTAAACACGTTTTAGCAAAAAAAAAAAAACTCTTCCTAAACACATGAACATCCAAAGCTCAGACACAGAAATCACACGCTGTAGTGAGAGAGAGAGAGAGAGGAACCTGTTGCACACAGTGATGTGTGTACTTGGAAATATCTCGCTTGTTTCACCGTTAAAGAAAGAACTTCGAGCCTTCAGGAGCTGCGAACCATTACTGAGGCTCTTCCTGGGTTTGAACATTCACATGAGAGAGAGAGAGAGAGAGAGAGAGAAGTTTTCAACTATGCTATCCAATCATACTTTTATACGGCGATAAGCATAGTCAGTTTTGTTTACTGTTTCGCAGCATTAAACATCGTTTATTAGCATTGAGTAATCTGGTTTTTTTTTTTTCACTTTTCACGGACCCAAATCTTTCTTGGACCACCAAAACTAGGGAAAGCCTGCCTCTAATCCAGCACATTATCCATCGATCATGTGCATATCGAGTCAATCTCGAGCACGATAATTGAGAAGTGTATATGCCGAAGTTTTATCACCTGATTTACACTTCTGATATCAGATATGTCGTTTGATATGTAAAGCAGGTCCAACATAGACTATCAAGTCGATCGTAAAGAAGCCCTTCTTTGCGAATTCTTTAGATTTAGAAAAAGTAAAGGTTAAGATGATTGAGATAGGGATAAGAAAATGCATGGTACACATGTCCATACCTCTAAGAGTGTTCTAGTACAATACTAATATACACACGAAATACAACTGAAGTTATCGATAGATAAGATTAGGTTAAATCATCCGTTTCAACGGGTCTAGGTGTCTCTAAAGCAGCCACTTATTTATCTTTTCCTCTCCATGATTTTTCTCCCATACTTTATGGGCTACCATCATGCACGATTTATTTTAACGGGACCTACAATTTAGCAAAAAGAAACAAATCAAGGGACCTACATAATAATAATAAGAAGAAGAAGAAGAAGAAGGAAATAGAGCCCCAGTTCCGTGAAGATCTCATCTTATTCCATTTTTTATTTTTCATTTTTGGGTGAATAGTTCCGTGAAGAAAAGATAAAAGGATAAGGGTTAAAAAAGAGAGATGATATTATCATGATGCGACCACGTTGTATGGAAAAAGCGTGGGTCGCGAATGTTGACCCTTCCTTTTCTTTTGTTTTCACACTTTTGGCCCCTCTTTTCATCAAATGTCAAAGATAGACCCATCCTTTCTTTCCCTACTGCCAAAAAGCTCTAAAGAAATCGATGGAAAGTGCATTGTACCCTCCGAGTGAGTGTGGTGCACATGAGAGGAACCTGCCTTTGCATTGAGCCCCACCCATTGGTTAAAGGACAACCCAACAATTTGCCCCATCCAATATTTAATATTATTAACATATATGTATGTGTGTGTGTATGTGTGTTTATAATATTGATGTTTGTCTTGTAATGACACGTGGAATAAAGGTGTGCCATCTTTTGTGTCCACCACAAGTAGGGTTCGCATTGGGCCTATTGGAAAAGTTTGATGGAAATGTTGTTGGCACCACACGCATTATTGAATAGGGAAAGGGGGAAAAGGGTTAATCATGCATTGATCCTGATTAGCAAGTGATTAATGATAATGAGTCATTAAGTCGCATAATTGTGAGAGAGCGCAAAAGGGAAAAGTGGGGACGACGAGACTCGAAGGACGTAGAACTTAATAATATTGTTATTTGATGCTTGAAAATCATCAATTAGCATAATAGCGAGATTGTATGCTAACAATGCACTTTATTGAGACATTTACATTGTTTTATTTGCTTTGATTCATGTCATTTTTATGCCCTTTTTGGGCCTAGTATTGTAAATTAGCCTTAATAGATGGACCATGAATGTGAAGGCAGTCCAAATATGGGCCTAATAGTTCTAACCCATGAAATTCCAATATCTGTATTCAGTCTTTTGGGTTCGTTAGAAGACGACTGGGCATATGGACTAATGTATGCAGAAGGTGTATGGAAATCTACAATTAAATTGGATAAGTATGGAGAGATTATGTCGGATAATTGTCCAAAAGATCCTAAACCTATTGTACGGTAGCTAATTCAGTCCTAAACCTTTTAATTGTGCCAATTTAGTCCTGAACCTTTTGACAATTTGCCAATTCAGTCCTAAAACCTTCAACTGTATCAATTTAGTCCTAAATCTTTTAACGAATTACCAATGTAGTCCTTCCGACTAATTTTGGCAGAAAATAGCTGATGTGGTTGTCTGGTTAGCCTTGCCATCCTACGTGGCACAGTCAGCGCTGACATGGTCAATTTTTTTATTTTTTTAAAATTTCCAATTTTTTAATGATTTTATATTTTTTCTTTTTCTTCACTAGGTCGGTAGGGCTGCCGGTCATTGGGCGAGGGCTAGCAACCTCAGTTGGCCACAAGGCTAGGGCCAGCGAGGGTCGTCGACCATAGTGAGGGCGGGCGAGGGCCGCGACGCCCTCATTGTGGCTCGCCAGGGGCTGGGCGAGGGCTAGCCTAGGGGCTAGTGGAGGTTGCCGGCGACCCCGCCGGCCCTATGAAGAAAAAAAAAGATATAAAAGAAAAAAAGTAAAAAAAATTCGTAAAAATTTAGAAAAAAAATTAAATGAATTGAGACTCCATCCAACCCTCTTTTCCATTATTCCAAAACAAAAAAAAATGTGAATCATTGGAGCTGGCTTCCCCGTGACAAAAGGTTTGTCTTTGAAACCTACAATTCAACTTTAATCACCTCGAATCAAGGCACAGATATCCATGATCTATATTCCCATTTCATGAATTTGCCTAAGTATGGGGCCAAGATACATTGGTGGAAAGAGAATCCTTCGTCATCAAATTTTTAAATAAATTCCGATTGCGATTTTTGGGCCACTAAGATTCTTCCAAAACGAGTGGTGGGCATTTTCCCAATTTTCTTCTTTTGTTTTTTTCCAATTATTTCTGTCTTAGCCAGAAATGTCAAAAGTTGTTAGCTGGAAAATCAATCTTGGAATCGACTCGTCCACCTTTGAAATGAAGTTAGTAGACCGTGTCTGTTTCACATTACGTTGGGAAAGCACTAGACGTAGCCGACCACCTCATAGAAAAATTCTTCCCAAAGAAAATAGGGTTTGCCAAGGAAGGCTTTGACTAGGACTTAAACAAGTGTTTAGAATGCTTCGTCTCGATTCTCGTCCGGATCTCGGGATCACCGGGATGTAAAATTTCCAAAGGGTACTCTCCCTCTCTGGAAAAGACAAAGATACGAGGAGAATTAGGAGTGCGAATCGTGCGGACATCGGTACGTTAAAATAAGGAACGCATCCATGGAGCCCGCCTCACAGGATGGGCACAGGCCGTAGAGGCCCTCATAGGCGCGCAAACTTCCTTCGTTTGGTGAGGTTACCTTTTAACTGAACATCAAAGATCTAAGGAAAACACCAGACGTAGATGATCACCTCATAAAATAAATTCTTCCCAAAGAAAATATGGCCTGCCAAGGAAGGCTTTGACTCCTTCCTGATCAGTTTCCCATTTATGCCTTCAACTTTGTTATTGAGTCAGTCTAGTTCTAGTCAACCATGCATGCCTTCACCGGATGCAAAAGGACTTCGGGAACCAAGGGAACTTTCCAATTCGACGGCCGCCATCACTATGACATGAAATAATTTTGGTCCCAAACCGGTCCGGTTCTATGTTCACGTTGACCCCACTAGGAGGCTCACGCACACATAGTCGACGGTTGTGAAGAACTCGTTCAAATGGACACATATCCAAATAAGAATATATCCAATACGGATCTTCCATGTAGTGGATAGTCCTTACTTATTAGTTATATTGATAGTGGAAAAAGAAACGCCTCCACATGGCAAGGGTGTATGTTAACCCAAATTACCGATAACAAAATAGGTTTTTAAATAAACTTCGACCATTGAGTTACGCGAATGGTGTTCTTATCGATAGCTATGATTTTGTCGAGGCACTGACAGAGTGTTGTGCGGCGTGGAGGATCTTCATACCCCGTAGGCGACTAATCAATCAGTCGACACAACTTTCTATGATTGTTTTTCCTTCTACACGGGCTGTGATTCAAAATGCAAAATCCTTCTCTAAGTGAACGCCTCTAAAGTCTACACGCTTTGGTTAGACAAATGAAAGATGGATACGACCTTCAGAATTACGAAAGTTCGAGTTTCTTCACAACGTGAAAAGTTCAAAACTTGCATGAGGCCATGCAATATGTAGGTCAAAGTAAAATTCAAGCTGGAAAAAAATTTTGAGTACACGAAACAAAAAAGAAAATCAGATGCACCACTTAAGAAAAACAACATTCAAATGCACACTTATCGGGAATTACTCGAACAAATTAGCATCCTAAGAAAATAAGGTCTTCCAATGCCATTGCAAGTGGAGAATCTCATTCGTGAATTGTTTTCATAGATGCACTTATTAGAATATCTACCCGAATTAAAGCGAAATGTTCAAATATTCATTTCTCATGCTCGACTCTTCTTCATCCGATTTCGTTCAACTTTATATCAGCTCTTCATTCAAGATAGAATATTTAAATATTAAACCACAGCTTTTTCTAACAGTTTAAACTTTTAGAAAGTTGACAATGGTCCCATTAATTTCACATAGTATCAGAGCTGGAGGTCCTGAGTTTAAATTTTCCAGACCCCTATTTGCTTCCCCAATTGCATACTTCCACGCTTTAGGCTAAGGCCAAAGTCCAGCCTACACGTGAGGGGAAATGTTAGAATAATTAAATATTAAACCATACCCTCATCTAATTGCTTAAGCTTTTAAAACAGTCGGTAGTGGTCCAACAATTCAGAACCTTTGCCTGCTCATAGTTCATATTCAGGCGAGAGGCAATCGACAGTCACAAGGAGGTGGCCGGCTGGGGTCTCTGTCACAGACTCGAATGATTCATATCTTATTTCACTTAGACATAAGTTTTCCAGAAAAATGGGAGATGATCGAAGCATGAAGCATCAGGAAATATAGAAATTATTCTGCCATAAAGAAGATGAGAACGTTTGCCTGCTCATATACTCGGGACAATTCAGGTAAAAAAGAGGTGCATAAGCAGCCATGCCATTGGATGAGAGCATCGACTTTACATGAAACTTGGAAGTCCAGTGATTCTCAATCGCAGCACCATGCATGTAGCCTAAATTCGTGCGCTATGAAGACCTGCATAGTCTCATGATAAAGAGGGCAACATCCCACAAGAACGCGATACCTTCGATTCTACATTGG